TATAAAGTTTAATGACAACATTTCATTTGAAACAATTCTTCATCAGATAATAAAATTATTCACAATGTCTGTAGTAAAACAAGAACAGTATAATATCGTTCTCAAATAATCCCAAAGAATTAACCCTACTTCTTAATTACTTACTTAATCATTCTAATAAGCATAGTTGTATTCATTTTTGTTCATGCAGATAAATATCCTTTTCAAAGTATAATTTAAAATGTAACTCAATCTATAAGACTTAAATATATTCCAAATATACACAGCTCAACATTTGAACTTATATAAACCGTAATATGGCCGATAAAAAGTTTTTCTTTTAGTTAAAACATCTTTCACTACTTTGCATGTAATTCATCCAAGTGGATATTTTATGACTGACCACTAAAGCCAATAACCAACCATAAGGTCAGGTTTTATTGCCGTTTTCACCGACAGTAAAGACTCCCAATGCTGATAACACCTTATATATCATTGAAACTGCCTCTTAAGCGAAAATATCCAGTTATATCGTATGTGGCAGACCGGTTTTATTGATAATGTGATTATATTTATTTTGTTGTGATAACTTTTTCTAATTCCAACTAGATGCATAAAACTTAGTAGGCCTACGGTATGCAATTTACCACTGACTAGATGTGTTTTTAGGTAGTACTGTTCAACCAATATTATTCTTAGGGCTCCGCGCCCAATTGGCTTCTATACATATGTGCTTCACGATGGTAGAAAACGAAGAATTAAAGGGAATACATTCTTAAAACAAGTCTAGAATCCTGCTAAATTGATATTGAACCTTTAAAGTCCAATTGGGCTAAGCCAAAACAATTAAATTACTTTAACTATCAAAATTCACATCTAGACCATAATATATCATACTATACAAAATTTGCAGGTGCTAAATAGAATAGGAAGGAACCATTGACAAGGATTAAAATATATTAGTTTAATAAGACGCTGAATCACCAAGGTGCGTATTTAAACGTTAATTTGGGTGAAACTAGTAAATTTGAGTGAATAATATTATATACAGGGTGGCTGGTCATCAGTGTGACAAAATGTTTTTGGCGTAAGTACAAAGTAAATGCAGTGTAATGATGCATATAAAAGGTTCCAAGTCCAAAAATTAGCTTCCCAAAGAATTATTTTATGTTTTTCAAAAATAACTATGTTTTCAAACTAAATACAGCTATTTCTCAATTACCTGTAAATGGATTTGAGTAGACAATGTCATTTTCGTGTTCTACATTAAATTTTGAATAAGAATAATATAAAATGACGGATGATCAGTTGTAAAAACTCCATTGTAAATAGCTTCAAAGATAAAAATTAAGATGTTTGATAAAAATTTAAAAACATAGGTCTATTTTATTTGTTCACACCCTGTATGCAAGAAAGTGTCCGAATATGTTAAAAGCTGCGCCATTTTATACGCTTTCTAACCATATGCTACACTATTGAGGTTTAGATATTCTGATATTTCTTTTAGTGGTTTGAATACCAGAAAACAGGGAACTTTTTTACTGTTTTTACTGTTCAAGCTGAAACAAAAATACAATTTTTGCTTAATACATACCGGCTTTCTACGTTTTAAATGTTAAAGACACCCTGTTTTCTGGTATTCAAACCACTAAAACAAACAACAGAATATCTAAACCTCAATAGTGTAGCATATGGTTAGAAAGCTTATAAAATGGCGCAGTTTTTAACATATTCGGACACTTTCTTGCATACAGGGTGTGAACAAATAAAATAGACCAATGTTTTTAAATTTTTATCAAACATCTTAATTTTTATCTTTGAAGCTATTTACAATGGAGTTTTTACAACTGATCATCCGTCATTTTATACTATTCTTATTCAAAATTTAATGTAGAACACGAAAATGACATTGTCTACTCAAATCCATTTACAGGTAATTGAGAAATAGCTGTATTAAGTTCGAAAACATAGTTATTTTTGAAAAACATAAAATAATTTTTTGGGAAGCTAATTTTTGGACTTGGAACCTTTTATATGCATCATTACATTGCATTTACTTTGTACTTACGCCAAAAAAATTTTGTCACACTGATGACCAGCCACCCTGTATAGCTATGCTATTAACTAAGATCAGTTGGTTGTATGGCCAAAACCAAATATTAAAATCATAATAATCAATGGCAGCTAAGTCCTGTTTTAAATCATTAACAAGCTTCTGATTTTTCTCATAATTGAACAGCTTGAAAACAATGTTGAAAATCGATCAGTCAAATTCAATGACAGTAGAACAGTTGAATTAATCAATGGATTTTCGGATGACTCCTAGGTTTTCATATGGTAGGTCAAGGGCCTTTACACACTAGGCCATGGTGGTGCCACTTATAGGCTACAGTGCCACTTTGGAATTGCTTTTGGTGGCGAGTACCTTGTGTAGTGAGCCACTTCAGCAGCCACCACACTTTATCAGTTTATTCATATTAATTGTTTTCTAATTATCGTAAGGATGTGGAAGAAACTCGTGGCATAGCTTTTGTATTGGCGGAAAGGGGAACGAAATCAGGGGAAAATAATGGATACACTCGTTTTACGCGATCCAAGTTCAAAGGAGTGACTTTTACTAGGGAGCTCAGAAACAACCAATTTGAGTTTTAGATATGCCTACATATGTATTCAAGAATGACAGTTGGTGTCTTTGACGAGTTATTCAGAAGATTGGAAGTAATGATTACAGGAACGAACCAGATTCTGAGATTGTGTAACGCTAGAGATTGAACCCTCGCCATGTAAAAAAACCTCCCGAATTTGGTCCTGCGTTTTTCCACTTATTCACGTACTAGAATATGTTTCCATATATTTTTTTCATAATATAGCAAAAGCACAAATTTATGTATACAAATCATGCATTAATTAATGAAACTGTAAAAACCGAGAATATATTCACATTCATCTTTACCAACAAGAATAAAATAATTTCTCAAGAACAGAACACTTGTGCAATACTTGCTTTTAATATGAGAACATTCCATTCATGTTGAATATTTCTTATCAAACATTTATCGCGTTCTTTTTCAAATTACAAATACTTCCTACTTGATTTGACACGTGTTTTATAACTTACATTGTTTCCTTCGTCGAAGTAATATAACTCTTGTTATTGAATTTATCTGACATTCTAGGGAAGTTATTAATATGTCAAGAATATTTCACTGTTTATCACAATCCGCCGGATTTGAAACATTTTATAAGTTTAGTATTTAAAAAATACAAGGGGAAAGCTTCAGTTATTAAATATAAGGGATAATGTATGTAGGGGGGTTTAATGTATGTGTGGTGTTATGAGGTTTTAAGTTTGATATCTGAGTACCACTATACTACATATTACTTTCTAAAAAACCTAATCTTAAAGATCCAACTTTACATTTAATTTCAATCTCACTCCTTAGTTATCTTGGATATTTTAATTATTATGGTGCTCAAAACTTTAAATTTTATAGTTAAAAGTTATTTGGGAGGGTTGTAATCCATCTAATTTTACGCATTACATGTTTAATTACATAAAAACTTAGCATATATATATATATTTTCAAATCAACATTTTAATTTTTAACCTAAGTTCATTATTTTACGTCATTTACGAGAAAGCCTTCAAATACTTTCAGAGTATTCTTTAGCTAGGTAATCCCGAACTTCAGGACGATGAAACTGTTTTAAATTCAACTCAACACTTTGGACGGTTATCTAAGTGAATCTGAGCTTATCAATCCTCCTAAAGTCAGCTGTAAGCATAAAAGTTGAGAGCGCTCATTTCGGAGCAGTCTTCTTTATTATCTTTTGTGAATCAATTTGCAATGAAGTACGCCCAGGCTGTATAAAAGCTTCTCTATTTATTAGTTGAATAGGTTGTTTTTTAATCGGGTGATTCTGTTGCATTATCAACAATTACAATTAATAGTTGCAAGAAAACTCTTGTATAACAGACATAATATATTTAATGTACAATTACTGCGCGTTGAGAATCAATTAATAATGAAGAGAGCAAAACTATTTATTATTTATTAAGAGAATCCTAAGCGAATTTCCATTTGACTGATTGGATTTTTACTGAAAAGTTTTTTTCTCATACATGTCAGATTTATTAATTATTTAATTAACAATTGTAACGTATTATGTTCGCTGCTACAGGGAATGAAACAAAGTGTTTTTTGTAAAATGCTAAATTTGATCACAATGTATCCATATTTAGCAAAATATAACATTTTACCATTTGTATAAAATATAAATAATTGTAAATGTATAGGTTTTAATTGTCTCCGTATTCTTTAACGATTATACAAAAACTTTTCAATGTACAAAATTATTTGTATTTTAGCCAACTGCGGTAATAGCCATCGACCACAGAATTAACTTTATTTCTGTGCTCGCTGGTAATAGCTCATTCCATTATGATAAGTTCGATAAAAGCTTATCGAACCTACTACTTTTTCAATTATTTTTAATGCTATAATCATTGGTTGTGATTGACTTAAGATTTTTCCCAAATAATTTATTTTATTGTTGCTTTTATCTACTTTGTGTTCTCTATTCAAAGAGAACTACAAAAAGTGATTGCCCCTGATGGTGTTAGACAGTGTAGTAATAGATTACAAAATTTGGCGATGTTTGTAGTAAAATATTTTACATACATTTAAAACATTGTTTATCCTTTCAGTTATATACAGTACTGCCATAATTTTGCACCTACGACGCTCCAATGTAATTTCACGATCTCAAAACACTCGAATAAAAAGGTCAGTACTCGTGGTCAGAAAAAAGGAATCTATTTATTATATTTTTGAGCAGATTACAAAAAAGGAATCATTTGGATTTATATCCAGCCAAGTGTTGACATAAACGTTTTTTAACGAATGGACAACTTTATTTCTATGCACATTATTAACTGTCATGAATGTAACAATAGCCTAACTGAAGTTATTTGTTAATAAAATAATTGTTAATTAATTAATTGATTGTTATTGTTCCAGAGCGAGTCCTGCAGGATGACGACCGGCCACTGGAGGTCCTACAGGAATGGGGGACTCACCAGGACCAAGTACGGCTCATCCTGCGTTACACTGTGCTCAACAACAACTCAGGTAGGTTCACACATGTTTGGTTTTACTTCATACATCATCAGACACTGAAAATTATATTCAATGCCTAAAGCACGTACTGAGGTTGTCATTTATTAAGTCTAGCTTAATGAAGAAATCTTTTAACAATGTCAGTTTACTAGATCGTTTTGAATACGGACTGTATCCTAGTGTTTTTTTACATTTATCTACACATTTGTCTACAACAGAGTTACTATACTATGACAACTTGGACTGTTGATTCACTTTTTGGAATTTCATACAAAAAAGCTATCTTCGACGTTCTACACGCTACCCTAGAGCACGTTTATCAGTTTTGAAAGTGTGTGGCAAACCAACAGGATTGTTTTCAGCCTTTTTAACACAGTAAATATTTATCCACATGGTAGTCTAATTATATGTTGATTTTTTTTACTTAATTTTTCCTTGAGACAAATACATCTTACGTAATTTATTGGCACTCAAGATTGGGTATAAAAAGTAACTCGTCACCCTTACTTCATTGCCAACCCTTTAATATATCAATGTTTTCTTAAAAAGCAATTTTAGAAATATGATATTACTATAAGTAAATAAACTTTACCATAACAATCAAGGCCAAACGTTAATCAATAACTTAGCTAACATATTTATTTACGTAAGAGAATAAGAAGAGACGTAGAGAAAGGAATAAAATGTACTTTGAATATAACAGCACTTAAAATCTGGTAAGTTTTATATTTATTATATTCCCCGTTGTAATATTAATATAAAGGTTACCTAGAAACAGTTTTAACTAGACATAAGATTAAAATGCGTATTTATTTAACTTTACATTGTTTTAAAGTGTAGGATTTTCTCTAACAACTGTTGCTTACCTTTGGCATTTTTAACAGTTAACTACTGTTAAACCATTCCCAAAATAAAAGAAAAATATTTGATCGGTTTTGGCATACGTTTAAATTTTACTTTAGGATGATACTTTCTTGTTACGTCCAAAGCCAATGATATAAAGCAACAGTCGGATTTACCTGGGGACATGAATTGTACAATTATTTTTGGGCGTTGAGCTGAAAACAGCCCTGAATTGTTTGACAAACATTAAAGTGATTCGGTTGGTTTGAATGCAACAAAGTCATGATATCTGAAACCGGCAACACGGCTTTTCCACACAAAGTGCAGCGAAGCCGTGTTATTGATGGTTGAATGGTCCTAAGCAAAATTGGCTGTTGGGTAGAAAAGGGACAAGTTTTGATAGGATTCAGTAGCTTGAGTGAGCAAACAAACATTAATGGCAATCGTCTGCTCAATGAGAATTGCTATTCACTTGCTATTGATAACAATGGATTTTATATTTGACCTAGCTACAATTTTGAAACAAAATCGAGGTTTTTTAAGTTTGACCGCATAAATGGTGTGGTTCTACAGTACCGAATTAGGCGTATTGTAGGAATCGTACAAAAAACGTGGTGTACAAAATAGAAAGGTAATATACAAACTGAGTCATCAATACTACAAAAGATTGAATTAGTACAAATATAAAATTAAATTGCATTATTAGGTAAACTTAACGACATGTAGAATGGAACCAATCGTAAGAAACTAATTAAAAATTAAATTCTGTCCCATCACAAATAAAATTACGAAAGAGTGTACTTGTCTTTGCATTGAGAAAAGTACAATGTAATAGATTAAAGTTGCGATGTTATTATTTTCTTCATAGAATTTCTAATAGGCTATGCCGACTTTCAAACACATTACAATTGTTTAAGTTAACATGTTAGTCTCCCTCTATGGTTAACTTTTAATCCCACTCATTATAATTTCACTCTTAAAAGATAAATTTATGAATTATGTTGACTTTTGTTAGTTACACTTATTTAGGACGGTGTGAAATGTCTTAATTTTTTAAAATTTTATTTACAACTAATTTCAACCTAAGAAGATGTGACTTGGCGAGTGTCAAGCACGATCCCCAGCAACAACTCATTCAGTTAGTTGACAGCACTGATATAGGCCTGTTGTTCTCCTCGTTCTGCAGTCAGCTCAGTGACCTCATCAAGACTCACTCTCCCTGGAAACGCGTAGGCCACTCTCACTTTCCTAGATGGTTCTCAGTGGAACTTAAACATCTAGTCATCCTCAAGAAGACACTCCACAGGCAATACAAAACATCTCTTGATTGGCGGGACTACCAATCATTTTGCAGAATTCGTGACCAATGCAAGTCTGTCTCCAGAGACTGCCGATCAAGGTTCATCGACCACGTCAACTCAACCATCACCTCCAATGTCAAGGTGTTCTGGAGCTTTGTTAAAGACCTCAATCGTTCGCCTCCTATTCCTGCAAATATCAGACTTGGTTCGTATGAGGCTTCTAATCATGTGGAGTCGTGTCAACTCTTCGCTGACTTCTTTTCGTCCGTCCACTCTCCCACTCACCATGGTGAACTGCCTGTGCGTGTGTTCAACACCCCCTTCATCTCCGAATGCTCCGTCTCAGTTCAAGATGTCGACAGGAAGCTACTGGCGCTGGACGCAACCAAGGGAAGCGGGCCAGATGATATAACTCCAGGAGTGCTCAAGTTCTGCCACTCTGAGTTAGCCTTTCTACTCCAATACTTGTTTAACCGCAGTCTGTCCTTTGGCACTTTTCCATCGGTCCTGAAGAATGGTTATGTCGTCCCCATATTTAAGTCGGGAGACAACCGTGACGTTATGAACTATAGGCCAATTGTCCTTTTGTCCGTTATAAGCAAAGTGTTCGAAGGCCTAATCTTAGATATAGTTCAGCCCTTGTTCAGACAAGTGTTGATAGACGAGCAACACGGATTCACCTCTGGCCGCTCTACTGTGACCAATCTCCTCCCGCTTCAGTGCCAAGTCATGGATGCCTTTAGCCGACGAAGCCAAGTTGATGCTATATACATAGATTTCAGCAAAGCCTTTGACAAGATTAGTCACCGTCATCTTCTTGCTAAGCTGGAGGGCTATGGTGTTGTTGGCACGATGCTTCGATGGTTTGAGAGCTATCTGTCTGGTCGACGTCTGACTGTTGTCTTTCAGTCCCACGTCTCTGCTAGCTTCGTCGCGAGTTCCGGCGTCCCGCAAGGTTCCCATCTTGGCCCACTCTTGTTCTCGATCTTTATCAATGACATTAAAGATAATATAAAGGTGCATTTTCTGCTGTTCGCTGATGATATTAAGCTGTTCGTGGAAGTCAACACTCTCTCTGACTGTCAACTACTTCAAGAAGCCCTCGACAACGTCGTCAGTTGGTGTTTGGAGAATGATATGTCAGCAAATCCTGCCAAAACGAAATGTATAACGTTCAGTAGAAAAAAGAACAACTTGGAAGCCGACTATTTCCTTGACGGGAACAGGGTGGAAAGGTGTGACACCATCAAGGACCTGGGCGTTCAGATTGATGCCTTGTTTGATTTTGGACCGCACATAAGCCATATATTTGCCAGGGCGTCACGCATGCTGGGACTGATCTCTCGGACGGCAAGACATGGGTTGAGTGCCAACTCCTCAGTGATCCTGTTCAAGGCCTTAGTTCGCCAGCTGCTCGAGTACGCCTCTGTGGTCTGGTCACCCTACCTCCTCGGCCAAATCAATCATCTTGAATCAGTACAGAGACCCTTCGTGAGACATCTTGGTTGCCGCGCTGGGTTCAATTTCATGGACGTCCCAGTCGAGGAAATATCTGCAGCTTATGGTCTCCAAAGCTTGGAGTGTAGAAGAAGAGTTGCTGATGTTGCCTTCCTCTTCAAGCTGCTTAACAACCAGATCAGCTGCCCTTTTCTGCTCGAGAGGATCAACTTGCACGTCCCCAGAAGTACCAGGCATCAACGCTTGTTTGAGCTAGACCATGCGTCGACCAGCTATCTACGCTTCTGCCCCATACCACGTCTGATGCGCTCCGGGAACGAGATCTGTTCGTCGGTCGACCTTTTCGCTTCCAGTTTGGAGGCTGTTAGGCGAGTGGCAGCAGAGGAACGTGACGCTCTATAACATTTCACTGTTGGTGTTGTTTTTGATCTTGTTGTATCTCAAATCATTATTATTGTTGTTCATTTAATGCTTTATTATTGTTATTCATTTCATTATTTATTATTGTTACTAGTTAATTTCTACTTCTGTTATTCTTTTCATTGTTTATCGTTGTTAATGCCTAGCACAAAACACAAACATTCACTGTTGTAGCTTTCAATCTTTATGTTTGTAAATTGGTGTATTGCCGTTGGTAAATAAATAAATAAATAAACCCTAGAGTTTCACTCCATCGGCTTTGATAAAATAATTTAAAAAATTGTTATTTAAGCAGGAACAGTTTTTGTGATTAGAGTCTAGTATACTTGTTATAATAGCCTATATACATTACCCATAAGGGGAAAAGTTCCCAATGCACACAAATTGTACATACTAACAAGCAGCTCGTCTATTGGATCTTGTTCTGACTCAGTAGGAACAATACTGAGTCAGCTAAACAACAACTCTTTCTGTTATTGTTTTTGTCTTGCAGAAACATTGTTTTTTCTTCATCTCGTAACAATGCTTCTTATCCTTTATTGTTTATCTGATAAATCTATATGTTTTGTACAAACAAACTAATATCATATTTGTACAACCAAAGCAGAAAAAAATTAGATATTCTACTCACTGGTGTTCAAAAATATTAAAATATAATATTACAAATTAAAAGAAATACTTGTATGCATTAAATAGCCAAATATGTATGGGCAAGGCATTTACTAGCACAAATAAAAGTTAAAATATTGAAGTAAAGTTGGATCGAGGTCATAAATTGTAAGTTATAGAAATATTTGTTAAACAGAAATGTGTAATATTCTTAAAAATATCTGGAATTTCTATGCTAAAAATAGAAATATGTATGCATTTAATTTAAATTGAATAAATTGCCAAATAAATTAAGTCTTTCTGGACAAAGACACTCTTGTGTTTCCTCGACTAAAGACCGTCTGGATCTGCCAATTAAATTGGCGAAATAGTTTTCCTCGC